ACCAGAATTTGTCTTATTTAAGTGCCTCCTTATCACCCGTTTCGGAATGATGGATGGGTGCGATATTGACTTGTCGTCATGTGGAAGATTCGTCTCATTTACCCATTTCATCGTTACCCTGTTGCAGGCACAACGAGTTCTCACTTCGTTTGTCTTAAACAGCGGCGAATTTTTGACTTTTCTTGTGAACAACCATCCGAGGCGTATTGACGAGAGGTTTAACCCAGACTGCAGTAAAGGGTCTGTCAATTCTTAGTAGTGCCAACAATCAGTTGCAATCCAATAAGACAGACGATTTGACTTTTGGTTTATTTTGTTGACATCGATTTGAAGACTGTACTGTGGGCTGATGTCTACATCTCCTGGACGGGTTGGCAGCGGGTGGAACGGTTTTGTCATACCATGGCGAGTGAACAGGAAGGGTGAAAGCTGATGGCCGTTGGTGTCTTATTCTTATAATGGCACTTTTCGTGATATATTTTTTTGTATCTTATCGTAACCGAATGTGTGGAACCGCAACTTGGTTCCTTCCTCAGAAGGCAGACGAAGTGCGTGTGGGGGCTTTCCGTCGATGGGGTGATAACTCGGTATCAGTGAATCATAATGCGGCAACCTCGTCTATATGTCTTTTTTTTATTGGATTCATCACAATCATTTCTATCGTGGGTGAGAAAGTTGATTGTAGTCTTTTACGTGGTAGCATCCATATTTCTTCTTCAACGCATGTCTCTTGTGCGACTTAATTTATTTTTGAAATAGCTTTCTTTACCATCTGTTTGACATTTTCATCTTTTATATGTTCTGGATATCTTCATTCCTTCTGTGGTGAAAAGAAGCAGCACGATCTGTGTTGCCATTTTTGGCACATGTGACATGAGTATGTAGTGGACTGAAATGTAGTGTGGGAAGAGAATGAAATTGTGTAGCATAGCTTATTCTTTTAAGGGCACTGGGACCTTTTTTGAGGTGTTTTATGTTTGTTGCGCAAAACGGTTTTTGATTGCTCTTGCAATATATGCATGCGAACATTGAACTTGTTGGCGTTTCCATTGTTTAACCCTGTTGTCAGAGCTAGTAGTAGAGAGCAGATTTGATCGGTTATTTGTGGTGCGGCGTGAAATTTACTCCCCTTTGAAGACGATTTCTTCTGAGAATTGTAAAGGTAGGTGCATGTCAAAAGATTTCTTCGTTGTTGTTTTCTTGACCAGTGTCTGGCGTTGTGTGACGGTAAAAAATTTCGACAGAACTTCCTGTACATGAGATGAATGTTTCCATTCTTTTCCTTTTTCGATTAATAAGCGAGAAAACGTTTTGTATTCTAGAAGATTTGCAGAATAAGTTTCTCCCAGTTTCCATCCTAGTTAGTAAGAAAATCAGTGACTTTCTTACAGCCTTAGCTACTGACTAGAAATTATTCATGTCTTAAAGCGTTCTCCCTTTAAGAAGCCAAGTAAAATAACTAGATTTCCGTAGGTTAGAGACCTTTTGTAAGTTGTGCTACCCGTACTAAAGAGCTCACATGACTTGTCCCATTCCCAAATATAGTCGTAAATATTGCGATAGGGATTGTGAATAGCTCGAGATTTTTGACGATCGCAGTGTCTAGTAATGAGGTGGGTTACATAAATTAAGACAAACAAAACTGCACGTATGGGAGCATTCCATTTCTCTTCTATCTTTTCCATTTCTCACCACCACTAATTATGAAGTAGTTCTCGAGCTTCACCTACAATCGTTACCACTTGGCCAGGGTGTGCTCGAGATTCCAGGGAACCACAACGGCTGAGCCCGCAAATCTCCGAAAAATGGTGGTCATGCTGGAGCCCGCCACAACTAGTGATGACGGTCCGTTCGAGTGTCAAGTAAGTAAGTTTGCTTACCGAAGGAAAACAGTGTCATTCTTCTCCCAATTGTCCAATTGTAAAACTTTTAAGATTTCAACTAGCAATTTGGCGGGCAAGTGTGAACTGGCGTCTTCGGTTTTGATATCGGCTAAGTCTACCGTTAGCAATGAGTCATCGACGATGTCACAAGAGTTATGTTGATTGACGTGAATGAATTGCTTTGTAATTACACTGTTTCTATGAGATAAACATTTTCTTATGACGTTAACAGACGTTACAACACCAGGAAAATGGTACGTCGACTTAACATTTTACTTTACATTGACATGAAAAAAGAATAAGCACGCATCAATCAACACGAGATGACGTGCCATCTCCTAGGAAAAATATGAAAAAGAACAATGGACACGGAATGCTTTCTATGAAACGCATCGCTAAAAAATTGAAATTGATGAGGTTGATGAACGTAGTACAGGACCAAGAGGAGAAAAACTACACATAATAACAAAGAAAAGGGCAAAAGAGCTAAAAAATCGAAAAATTCGACAGCGACCACGACAGATCCCAGTAATAAGACTTAGAGTTAAGCCTTCGTAACTGGAGAAAGATCCGTAATTACTGAAAGACGTTAATAGTCCTGTTGTGCCTGAGCTGTCGCAAGAAGGCGGTTCTAAATTTGTTTACATATCAGAAGGGCTCAAGAAACTGTCACGGAATCCCAATATAGCTCTTGAATAGGGAACAAGAAAATTTTATAGCTCAATATTATTTTCTAAGACTTTTCTCACTGGAAGTCCTAATCCACTCATTTCAGTGAACGATGAGTCCTAGGTGGAGGAGAAGAAGTTAAAGCAGAACTTATAGCGACCTCGTTTCTACCCTAAGAGACAGAGGCAAAATCGTGAGATGGACTTTCTGTTTTTGCTTCGACGATTAATATATAAATAGAGCCATAATGTCTAAAGCTTCCGGCGCTGATCAGTCCACCAAAAACCGTAAAAATTTTAAGGTCTAATTTCCCCAACCACAAATTATTCCTTACAGAGCACCCTTGTATAGGAAGAAACTAACTACTCCTGTCTTATGCTCCCTAAATCCGACCAATGACTTGATTAATGTTGTTACGCGGATGTTTAACCTGAGGAATTCTCGTTAACACTAGCGTACCCAATATCATGTACCTCTTGGAACAAATAAAGACCTTAATCGAATGTATACGGCTGATCGGGTGACAAGATATAAGGATGCGTGTGGAGCAGTGGTCGGAGGAGCCCTGCAACCCACACGTGGAATCGGTCTGGGCGCCCATGGCCCACCGAGCCTTTCATCTCTCCGGGGTCGGCAAATTGGTACCAGACTTGTATGGAAGGATAACACCACTAGCTCGATACATCGGTAGGCCACCGCGAGTCAATGTAAAGACCAGATATGCATTCAACCACCTCCAAACCATGCTTAATGAAGTCGAATGTAGAGCGCATCCCTCAGGGATTTATCAACGCCGAGAGCATTATCCTTTTTATTCTTTTCATACGGCTGGTAAAATATGTACCACAATCGGTTTTTACAATCCTTATTGCTTACTCTCCAAATAAAAGAATGAAGAACAAGAGGTCTAGGAGTTCCATATATAATTAAGGGAACTCCAAAAAAGTGAAGCTGGTATAGCGGTAATGTAAGTGGAAACCACAGGATCAGACCAAAAAATTGGAAATACTGCCAGTCCTCATAAGCACAATGGCACGGGCTTTCATACCTTACCTACTTGAATGCTTCTTCATGAATGGAAAATCAGCACGACCCCGTTGCAGAGAGCGGGAGATCAACATAATACAGGTGACTACATCTTACAATCTAGAAAACACTGGCAACTATAGCCTAATCTTACTAGTGCCTGTCGCAGACAAATCTTGTCCTCGAATCATGCTCAACTGAATTGGCATGACATTGCTTGAAGGGTAGCCACACAAGCAAGCACGGTCTCTGGACAGGTTCTGCCCAATGAATTACACCAATATTAAAGCGAAGCTCACACGATTCTATGGGGTTTTTTCTCATTTTTAACGACTTGAAAAAACCTTGGACCCCGTTTACAAGAATAACGTCTTGGAAACCTTCCTAAGCAACGACGATAAAGATCTTTTTCAATGTCTTACCTTAATAGCTGAAACTTACATTTTCCTTAAAGACACCAGTATTTTCTCAAACAGAAAATTTCATATGGCAACAACATGCTGTCCAAATTTTCTAAAGGGATTCTAGAAAACGTCACACGAAAATTTGAGTGGGTCAACATAGTAGTGCAAACCGATGGACGGAGGCATCATCTTCGATTTTGTGATGGAATCATTTTTGTAGCATTATACACTAGCCATGTTAATGCTGGGCGTTTCTACAGCGCTTATAGAAAGGCGGCTTGCGGAGCTCACAAGTTCATCGAAATGTAGTGAAAAGGAAAGAGCAAAGCACCATTGGCCATGTATTCATCTCTTTCACTAGTAAGATCTTTAATGCCGTAATAGATATTTTGGAATGTCGCATAAGCGATATGAAATATCATTAAACCTTTTCGAGCGCGCTACGGAGAGAACGAAGAGAGAAGAACTTCACGTAACACAAGCAACAGAAATTCCCGAATCCGAAGCCCCGTCTGACAACGACATGCTGTGTTGTCAACGCCGAAATGTCGAAAAATAGGTGAGGCGAACGCATTATGCATTTTAGCGACAATTAATGGATAACAGACGTTAGCGATTAATCACATTTGAGTCAAGCGCACAGCAGTAGGACTGCAGCCGCGGTGATCAAACTTCTAGCGATATCTCGCGAACAAGCAGAACCGACTGCCCTAATTTTTCATGTTGACTTGGCAAGTGTAGACTTTAATTAGGTGGACTTAGTCATACAGCACTTAGAGGAAACACAAGAGACAGACAATAGAATAACAATGTATTTCCTTCCGTTTACAACTATGGGATGAAAAGAAACCGATCTGTTTGCGTTCTGGTAGCTAATTGGTTCACCTCATACTACAACAAACCCACAACAAGCATGTGTCCATCGATTAAATATAAGAACTGAAGAAATTCTACATAAATCTGCATTGCATTCAAAAATTACCTTGAACGACTGTTCCGGCAGAATCTTCTTCGCTAATTATATAAACTCCGTTTTCGCAGTCATGTACTTCCCCATTTCCATTACTACATCACAACCTTTACGTACAGTAAGAAATATGCCGTCTCTAAAACAGAACAGAAATAAATGAACAGCACAGGCTCACGAATCTGATCCAAGGATAAGGAAAAACCTTGACAACTTATAACTGCGCAAGCCCGTAAACGCTTCTAGTACATATTCTTCTTGAATTTCTGTTCCTATGACAAAATCTACAATGTAATATTCGCGAAGTGAACAACTTAGTTACTGTATAGTAACAGGATATTAATACTACCTCCAATTTCCAAACGTAAATTCTTCCATATAAATTCCAACACTTTGTTGTAGATAACTTCAAGAAACTCGTCTCGGTAATACTTTTCATAAACACCACACCCTTGAGTCGACAATGGCCTTTCAGGGCCACTCAGTACTCGAAGCAACCGGGAGAGCATATAACATAAAATGAATAAAACTAAGTGAACTTTTTCGCTTCATGAACGACAACGACTGCATTAAAAAACTCTTTGGACATTCATGGTTCCTCAACTAAAGCAGTCGTTAGTCTGTGCGGATCAGATGGAGCTAATTAATCAGAGATAATTCTGGCACCAATTTGCCGAGCTCGGAGTGATGGGAGGCACAGTAGACCCGTGGCATGGCCTTAGGTCCTAAGCGTATTATTGGACGCCATCTCTACCACTGCGCCGCCCAAGCTTCTTTAATCAATGTGTAGCGTAAAGTGTGAAATAAGTAATTGCAAAGCGAACTTACTAAAGTCAATTAAAAATGTTCCATATCCTCGGTGTTGGTAGCATGGGAACTTCAAAAAGTTGAAAGAGTGTTGGTGACGAAATACGCCTGCTTAAATAGGAAATTGGCGATCACCACATTCTACAGATCAGATAGATGTCTCAAAAAGACACCAACTCTACTGCAATAATTAGAACAGTCGAAAACCACCATTACTAAAAGTTGCGAGAACAAAGAACATGAAAGGTTCAACATCAATGAAGAGCACGTTAAACATGTTGGCATCACTATACTTCACCTAATTATCAATAAATTTTACCAACCTTATTATCAAGCCACAGCAAACCTAGTTGGCATAGATCTAGTTCATTCACCTAAAACAAAAATGTTCACATCCAGTTCAATTGCTCCGAAGAATTGTTGAAATTACATGACATTTTCCCGATCAAAAAATCCTACGCACAACACAATAGAAGTGCTTGCGAAGAAAATATACCTTTTCTGTTGCGCCATGCACTTCGAATACCGAGATATTGTTTACTTTGCCACGATACACCTCTTCCCAGGTGAAGCAGACATATGCAAGCACTTGTTCTATAATTAAAAGATGACACTGTAATTTCTACAAGTCCATTAGGACTGCTGGTTAGGATTAGGACTGCTATGCTAATTCCCCAAGTCCAAAGGTAGTAAAAAAGAATAGTTTTCTTTTGAATTTAAGACATGATTTTTAGCGGAACGGTTATCGCTTTTCGAGGCCAAGGAGTACGCGTAAGAGTCAAACTGCTGTATAACTCGAAGCTATTGTAATACCCCAAGCCGACTATCCCACTTTTTCCAGGAAAATGTCCAGAACTTTATAAATGAATTTCCTGGCAAATATTTGTTAGAAAACCTGAGAGTCAATGGAACAACGATGAAAAAATTACCACATGGCTCAAGTGTGCCGGTTCGTAATCAAAATAGCAGAAGCACCCATCACAAACGAAAAGTGTATTCAAACGAGAACCCTCATCTAGGTATTGTCCCTTAAATACAATTCATTAGAAAAACGTAAGTTCATGGGAAAAACAGCGATATTGTTCATAGCAAACTACAATTCCATATGGTGGGATTTTATGCTTGGAACCTAGTTTTATTCACACAATCGTACCACTCTTCGAAAGGCTACGCTGCCTATTCCTCTGGATTAACGTAAATAGGAAGCATAAATTGGCGACCACCTGCAACAAAATGCTCAAGAAAACAAAGTTCTTCCTAAACAATTTGAACCATTACCTGAACGGTTCTCTGTACTTTGTCAAACATCTTTACAGCTCCACGCGTACGCATCACCTTTCCTTCATGAAGCAATTGCACTACATTTATGTTTCGTTGAGCAGAACTTTCGGAATGGCAAAGTGGTAAAGAAGACTAAATTAGTGACAGCGGTGAACCGTCACGAACCATAGCAATGAAGACATTACATAGAAGTGGAAAACTCCGAACAAAACATATCATCACTTTACTACGATTTTTCGCCATTGTTGTCATAATCTGCCTGTGACTTCTCGATGAAGAAGATTGAACGACATTGAGGCTGTGACTAGTGAAAAAGATGACATGTGAATATTGTGTCCGAATTAGCTAGTAGAAAGGACGAACGATGGAATCGCTGCCGATGAGATATTTTCTCGGACCCACATCGTGTTGAAGACTTAGTAGAGACCCCTGCAAGTTTAAGCTTGGACTCCAGCGAAAATCAAATTATGCATATAGCAACAGACCAGCCTCAGTAAACCGAAGCTGTAATCGAACTGTAAGAATGATATAGAAAAGTTGCTGTTAGCACCATGTGTGTGCGTAAATGTGGGAGGAACGTTTTGTCGTTTACTAGGTGAATAGGCTTAGCTTCCTGCGACAGAGCAGGAAAAGTAGGAACCAATGACAGCATAGCAAATGTGGAGCGAAAACAGAACACTAAAAACAATTGGTGCAAAGGTGGAAAAAGCGTAAATGCTAAAGCAAATTTAAAAAAAGAAGCAGGAGCGAACGAAAGATAAGAAATGCAAGCAAAGCTGTACATCTAATGAGACCAGAAAAAAATTTCGGTGCCTGACGAAAGTGTTCACTTCAAAACGACCGTACTGAAAGGGATTGTGAGAATGCTTCACTTCATCCCGCGATACTTGATGAAGTCAAAAGCGTCCGCTTCCTACAACTGCAAGAATCCAGCACAGAGACTAAAATGAAGAGAATGTCGTTCCATAAACAAGGACAGTACCAGTCAGCCTTAGGAACTGCTCGCACGAGCGTCACAACAACGTAGGGCAGTCGTCTTCAGCAGTTCACTACAAACGATGGCGACGTCAAGTCTGAAGTATCAGGCGGAATAGTTGAAGCAAAGAAAAAATAAAGAATAGAACAGTCGAAGCAAAGAAATTCCAAAAAGAATAACGGCAGCAAACTAGAAGAACTTCTGGAAACTAATTTAGCTTGAGCATATTCGCCAGCAGAATCGAACGAGAGGGTGGAAATTACGAATGTAGGTCCGAAAGCGTTACCATTTCCCTGAAAATATCCAATAAATGGCAAAATGTCGCGAGGTTTAGTGATGTGCAATTTAAAAATCGCTCCACAAACTCGTCAATTCATTTGTGAAGTTGGTCACTGAACTATAACTAGCATAAAATATGAAACTTCGAGATATCGATCCATCGAGATATGGTCGACATGAGAGATGAGATGGAGTCTTACCGCCGCCATGTATCGTCATTAATACGGATTTCGGCTGCTACTTGAGGATTTCAATTTCATTTTGAATGCCGTAGAAGGCTGGTCGAGCAATTCTCCCTGGAGTCCTGGGACTGCTGGGCTAGAGCGTTCCCACTTGGATTGCAGAGAGCGATTTTTGCCCAGACACGTTCGGTACCACTTTCTCGACCCCGGAGAGATGAGAGGCTCGGGCCGCAGCGGAATCGAACTAGCACCATGCTCGTGATGACTACCACTGTGCTAATCGCCTCCTGTGGTTTCCGCATTGCAACTGACAAATGTAGTACATCTAGTGAACCCCACGTCAAACGGAAACAAAAATGAGTAAGCGGAATATGAGGATGCTTGGTTCCATCAGGTGTTCATCGCATCTGTGGTAGTCTCAAATCTAAAACTTCTCACATTTTATTTCATTGAAGGATTGTCCGTGGAGACCCAGTTACCCATGTTACCTATACGGATTTGTTTCACCTATGACCGACTACGTCCTATAGAGACGTCTGTAGATGACAGTATCCAGTATACAGGGTGGCGGAGTTTACATCTGGCGACGTGGTGACCTTGTTCTCATCAAAGTATATGAAAGTAACACAGCTCCCAGATCGTCCGCATTGGCTTTGAGAGCAATTGTTGTTCAAGGTGAAAATTCCTCGTAAGATACTGTAAGGATCCAGGTATAAGTACAAACTTCTGGCATAAGACCCACCGGCGTCGGAGAAACGTATTAATGGCGATAAATGGCAGCCGTAAGACTCCATCTCATCTATCATGTCGACCATATTTCGATGGATCTCTGAAACACCCACAAGGATCCTTTGTTGTCATTTTAAGAAATGAGAAACACTTCCACCTAGGATAACTACGAAATCGTCAGCACATAGAGAACTAACATCCATACTAGAACATTCCACAGGTGATTTTTTGGCAAAAACCCTATAACAGAAAAAGACGGCGGACGGTCTGAATCGGAGCGTGTCTGTGGGGTTTAAGTGCTTTCCGTCCCGAAAATCACAACGTCGAATAGCACAAATATGGCGCGCTTGTGTAACTACGGAATCGCTCTACCTACCGTATTGTAAAAGAATTTCTCCGCCTCATCAGTGTTATTGATTGCCTTAAACTCATTGTAATATCTTGTTTTGTTTTACAATAGGATAGCTATTGTCATTGTACTAATGTCGTTAAGTTTCACATATTATACTGGTTATAATTCAGTGACCAACTCCACAAATGAACTGACGAGTTTGTGGAGCGATTTTTAAATTGCACGTCACTAAACCTCGCGACATTTGCCATTTATTGGATATTTTCAGGGAAATGGCAATGCTTTCGGTTTCTCATTCGTAATCTCTAGCCCCTGGTTCGGTTCTGCTGGCCACCACGCTGGAGGTAAATTAGTTTCTAGGAGTTCTTCTAGTTTACTGCCGTTATTCGTTTTGGAATTTCTTTGCTTCTACTGTTCTATTCTTTTTGTTTCTTTGCTTCAGCTATTTCGCCTAATACTTCATACATGACGTTTCCATCGTTTGCAAAGAATAGTATAAGCATAAAAAAAGCACAAAATAAAGCATACGTAGTTGGTTGATAGGCCGTGCTTTCAGCATCACCTAGGCATAACGTGTTTCATAAATATTGCCCATTAGTTCGTGCCTACGGAACACCCACTTTCCTCAATCAGCTTCTTCGAGGATCACAAAGAGCGTAACACTCCTCGTATGTCGCCCATTATCTTTGGCAAAAATGTTGCCACGAACAGCTTTTCGGGTTCCAGCGTGGTCTAGATTCGCTATTAAGGTAGGCTTCCTGGTGCAAATGTCGGACCCCTTTCAAGGTGTTCACACCCGGTTGAAAGGGAACATCGGTTTTACATTGAAGCTTAATACATAAAAGGAACTGTCTAACTGCAGTTAGGCGGTGAACTATTGGGAGCTTCCATATGTACGTGGAA